GGCAACCTTCCGATTACAAGACGAACGCCCAACTCTTGAGCCACGATCGCCCCAATCAAACATATGACACTGACAGACAGCATGAAAATCTTATAAATAAATTGAACTCCTTACTTCTGGTCGAAGTATCAGCTCCATTTTCACAATCCATGTCAGATTTGTATTTAAGAACAGACTTATTTTGCTGTGGTGTGGCAAATGCATGTAATAAGAAAATGCAGAACTAATTTATAACCTCCTTATCTTTCTTTCTTCCGTTTTTGATAGCATCTGCAGTTTTAAGCACACAGCTTCCTGCTTTGCTGTACTTCTATCTTAAGTTATGGTTTGTTAGCTGAGCCAGTTTTTGTCATGGTCCCTGGTTCCTCTATGCAAGAGGTTTCAAACTCATTTTATCTTAGGGGCCACATCGAGGAAAATATATTCCTAAGTTTAAACTTTACATGATTATCTCATGGGCTGGATAAAAACTTTTTAAACCCCCCCCCCCCCCCCCAAATTTGGATCAGGCCTGCAAATGCACCACTGCAAAGTGGTAAGTCAGAGCAGTCAGACATTATAATTGAAAACTATTGGCATTTTGTGGCTGCATGAGACAGCTGTAACTGTTGCAATCTGCTGTGTGGCAAGCAGGTTAGGACCCAAATGCAGGACTCCAAAAGCACAAAGTTAAGTGAGACCTGAGTCTGGGAACCTCCCTTAGTAGGTGGAGCTGGTTTTTTGTCCCTTTCATAAGCTCAGATGTAGGCAATTAGGTTTTCTCTGGAGCAAACCTCAAGCTGTGAGTGCTCGGTCCAAGCCAGGCGAGTTGGCACTTTTAACTTCTTTTATGAAAGCTTGCTGCGGGCCCCCTAGCCTTCTGTTAGAACGGTAGGTCATAGAAAATGTACTTGAGGTCTGGCTGTTTGGCAGAGATTTAAAGTTATTTGCACGCTTGTAGGTGGGAAACATTGCCTTACTGCGGCAGAGAAACGTGTAGTGGACTCCACCGTCACTGACCAATATTTATTAGGGTGTGATGCCAACTTGTGGACAGGTAACTAAACAATACAGTTGAAGCCAGGTTGGAGGGATACTCCTGCTGCGTTTTACTGTCCAGTGTAAGTCATCTCCTGCTTTCATTTACCGAGTACCGAGCTGCTGCTTTGTCGAGTGGATTTCTGGATTAATTTGTTTTTAAACTGGTGTAATTCGACAGCCAAGGGCTGAAAGCTTATTGTGATGGCTGTGTCTGTCGATTTTGTTCAGTTTATTTGTTTTATTCTTTCTGTATAGGCACCGCAGATATTGATTGCCTTTTAGAGTGGTTTACCTTTTTAAAAAAATCTTAATAAATATATCGCGTTGCAGATAGTGAGGGCACTGCATGGAAAGCCAAGCCGCTTTTTGCATGCCTGAGTGAGTGAAGACGGCACTGAAGATTCACCTTTTTGTGCTTAGAAACATATAATCATTTATGCTTAGAAATATATAATCATTTGTATTCTGATAAAAATCATGTCCTTATTAGGTCTGATAAGCTTCTGTGTGCACTTGTGTACCATGAGATGAGAGGAAGCAGACTTCCTGTTCTGTTCTAGGATGCCCTCTGGACCCAGTGGAGGTGGTGAGTGACAGGAGAATGGCGGCTAAGCTGTCATCCCTGTTGGACAACGTCTCCCACCCCATGCAGCAGACTGTGACAGCACTGAGCAGCTCCTTCAGTGGGAGACTGCGGCACCCACG